ACTATATACAGGTATAGTAAGGCTATACTAATATAAATAAATAAATAAATAAAGAAATACTTAAATAAATAGAAAAATATATAAAAAAACGTGACTTGGCCGGGACATCAATTTACATTCCAACAATATATAATTGGTTAAAATACATTAATAACTAGATAAATTATTCGGATTGACATTTACAAGCCATAAAGTAATCAATAATATAAATCATTTTGACAACTATAAGTTCTAAGGTAATTAGTAATATAAATTAGGAAATCTATTTTTATCCAGGTGAAAATAGAATTTCTCTAATTTGTATTACTGATTACTATAAAATTTGTAATCACTAATATATTAGAAAATTCTGCTGAATTCGATTGGATATCCTGATTATTGAGATGAGTATCCGGAGATAGCATGTCAGATAAATGAATTGGAGCTCTAAGCATAAATAAGTAATCAAAGATTTGTCTCTCATCGAAGAAAACAATTAAATTATAACCATGATATTCTGTCCTTCCGTTTTTCGGAAAATACATATTAAAAATGCAGAATCGATTAAATAATATACTATTGTTTATCTTGAATGTCGTCCCGACAGAAACTTTGAATAGTGAAATGAAAATCAAACAATTATATTTAAAAACTCATTTCCTGTTGAATTTGGTTTAGGCATTATCGGCTTATTTTCAGATAGCCGTTGGCTGTATCTCGTGATCCAGTAATCCAGATCGATGATTTCTCATTAAGGATTACTGGATCAAAAAATTTTTATACAATTCTGTGGTTTTTAGAATTAAAATTAAAATAATTTAATCGAATTTGAACAGCTGGTTGTCGAGAAATAGCCATTAAAATTTGATCTCAACTTTTTTTTTTATGGGCGCTTAAACTTTAAACAAAAAGATTACTCGGAATTTCGTGATCAGATTCGATCAAGGCATTTATATTTTAATTCTATAAGCTCGCATAATTAAAAAAAAAAAAAAAGTTTTTGACCAGTTAAGTGCCGAATAAATTTCGATCAAAGTTTAAGTGCCTATAAAAACAAAAAGCTGCGGCCAAATTTTTTTTAACTTTTAATGAATATTTCTCGACAACCAGCTATTCGAATTTGATCAAATTTCCTTATTAGTTCTAAAAGCCACTGAATCATGTAAAAAATTTTTCATCAAATTCGGATAGTTGGTTGTCGAGAAATATTTGCTTAAAGAAAGAGAATTTACCCGATTTGTTTCTTTTTCAATATTTTTAAGATTTTAAATTTTTAGCTACTGACTAAAAAAAAATTTTTTAACTAAATAATACCTCGTAATATATAGTATAAATAATAATAAATTAATTACTAGATAAAATGAGGGAAAACCCTATAAATAAAATTTTATTCGTTAATCATAAGTTATAATAGATTATTTGTCATTCCATGATTGGTCACTTCCCGGTGCCTAATCGTTAATATCGGCAGATTACCCTGTGCGTCACTCAAATATTTTAACCAGAGCGATAATTTCTAAATAACCGTTAAACTAAATTCAATGAACTTTTTTTTTTATTTAATTTTACAAAATTATAGAATTTAAAAATAAAAGTTTTACCGAATTTGATCAAATGATTATTGAGCTATTATCATTAGAAGTTTAATGGAGTTTGTATTACTAGCACAAATTAGATTTACATTATCTGCCCCTAAAAGATAAAATGCGAATACGTATCAAGATAAAACTTGCATATTAATAATTTTGAAAATCTTGTTTTAGTAATATCACGTCACACTTTCATTCATACTGATACTAAACTAATGAATACTGTAGATCGAAATAGGCGTATGAATTCCAGGTTCTAACTTTCTTTAGTTAATGTGATGAAGGATACAGTTTAGACATTCATATATACGTAGTTAGGCAATATTCTAATATAATGCTATGCTATGTAATGCAATATATCACTCCGTTCCTGGTATAACGTATTAGATATGATTGGCATAATAAAAATGTTCGTAGTTTTGCTCATTTATATATGATAGTTCTTTATTGAAATGCATTATACGGATATACAAGCAGAGCCTTATTGTTTTGTATTTTTGAAAAAGATATTTTTTTTTTTGCTGCAATCATTTTTATCGTTTATTTTTGTATTTCTTTAGATTCCTACGTGAACCAACCAAATATTTATACCACATGTAAGAGGGAAAATATAATATTTCCAGGTGATTTATTATACTTTATTTATGAATAAGTGAAAGCCTAAGTGCAATGTTTTTAAATACTAATGCTTTTATTAGATTTCTCCATAAAGCATAAAAGTAAGAAGATTCGAATATTTAACATACTTGCAAATTTTTTAATCATTATATTGTTAATATTACATATTTTAAATGCATAGATCTTGATTCTGAAACATTGAAGCCTTATTCTTCTCCTAATGATTTCTATAAAACTATTGAAGGTTATAGTGACAATAACCCTATCAAAAATATCACATGTAGTGGAAGTTGCAATTTCTACTACATAGATGAATTGAGTTGGTCGTTTAAATCAAATATTTCAGAACAAAGAAAAAAAGTTGATGAAAATATATTTTACTTAGCTAACGAATATAGAACGCCTAACATAATTAAATTAAACATAACGCTGCTTAATAATGATTTACCTTTAAGCTACATATTAATAACATTTACAAATACATATCTTCAAGACCAAGACAAGAGTATTAACGCAAATATTAGCCAGCCTATACCTACTGGCCATTTCATTTTGCTCAAATTTTTTTTAACATTTAAAAATATATACGCCTCAAGGTATAATTTGCCTACAGATTTACCCGAAGCATATATTGATGTTGAAATTAATGATATATTACCAATTCCGAACTCATCTTATACCATTTTACAAATGGAGCCAAAGAGTCAGAATATTTGTTATGAAGAAACTCAAAATAATGGTAAGGATTATTATATATAATCAACTACCGATATAACGGACAAATTGCAAAGAACCAAAATTTTAATATATAATTTATAAACAATGGTTATAACGGATTAATAATAAAAGACCATATGACAGAGATTTTTTTGCCCAGATTTCCATTATATAAATAGTTGACTGTATATATATATTTCCATATAATCAAGTATATTATCCAATTAAGATTTTTACTAATGATTATTAGTGTTTGCATTTATCACGAGTATCGGTGGCCTTTATTCTTTTATGTCAGCTTTCTATATTTTATTATTTGGATCACCAAAATATTCTCCTTGGTAATTATATATTAAAATTTATATGTGCATTTTATTAGAAAATTATACTAAATTTATTGTTCCAAATTCTATAAAAAAAGGGGTTATTGTCAAACTTGTCCATGCTGGTGGCCATTTCGCCGAAATTACAAAAGACATCTCGCAAAACAATTTATTTGCAACAATGGTATAACTCTATTTGTTGATAATCCACTTGAGTTGCTTTCCGATACATCATCCATTGAAGACAAAATAGTTGTATTAGGAAATCGGTTAGCTATGTTGGAAGATTTATTAAAGAAATTTTATCTTGATACAAGTTACTTAGAATTATTGAAAGAGACACGTGAAAAATACATTACTCTTTATAGAAGTTATAAAATACTTGAATCAAATAATACAATTGAAGAGGGTAGTGAATAATGTTGTGAAAGAAAAATATTGCATTATTAATTTTTACTTTTTTTATTTACAAACCTTTTCCTTTAGTTTATACAAATATATCTAACAAAATATTAAATATTTCTATTTTATATTTTTTATCATGTCTATATTTATATAAATGATTTGTATTAATTATATTTTTTTAATTTTGGTCACGTTATGAAATTATAAAATAATATGCAGTAGTACGGTAGATTTGAGTAGCACATTTTTTAATATCGCGAGATTTGAATCGGGTTCATATAACTTACACGTTGCATAAATAGAACAATGGTCATTAGTTTTAGAAGTTTCGTTGGTATTATAGGGTTTAGACCTTAGTAGTCTTTGAATTTGAATAAAAAACCTTTAAACAATGAATAGTGTGTTAGTACGTGGTATTTCTTAGTATGGAAACACCTGAACGATAGATCAGTCATCGTAAAGTGCCAAGTGAGTGAATTCAAATAAGAGAAGTCTATAAGTACATGGTAGACCAAACAACTATTTGGTATGTGTTTATATGATTATTTTAGTACTCTGCCATTAAATTCATTTTGACAATTACCTTAGTATATTTCTACATTTTATAGTAAACAACTAAATACATATTTTATATAATTTAATTTACAGTAAATACAAATTTAGAATCTGTTCGAGAATTCTGAAAAATTTTTCGTATCATATATTTTGCTAGTATAGAAGTATTGAGAATGTATTTGCTTAACCATTAACATTTTTCCGATCCTTTTCATATAACCAACGAGTGATTATTAGAAAATACACTATGGGAGTAGTGCCGGCGCTGCGGCCCTATCCCATCATTTTACATTTTACATGATTTATTAGATTACTTAACCATATGCTTTATACTCTGCTGAATAGTTCGGCATATCACATGGTAATCTCATGGCGAAGAAGAAGAGAATTTGGTACATGCACGACATACCGCAACATTAGAGAGGCAGTTACCGAGCAACATCATCTTATGTCGGTAAGCATGTCCCAGAACTATTCGTTCTCCTTTTTTTTTTTTTTCTTTAACACACTTTCTTCTCTTTCTTCTCTCTTTTTTTTTTTTTTTTTTTTTTAGGGGGCTGGGAGGGCCGCTACGAAAGAGCCAGACTAAAGTCAGGCAGCGAAAGAAAAAGCACTATCGCTCCCATACTAGCCCCCTAACTTATATATATTCCTTACATTTTCCCATACCTATTCATATATACAATACGTTCATTCTTTCTTTTCCCATCTAACCTTACATTTTCCCATCTAGCCTTAAATAGCAATAGGAGTCTGTGCATGTTGCTGAAACTTAAAATAAGCCGTTACTGAGTTTAGTTTCATTGTGTTATTCTTCCTGCACCGTACGTACGTACTACATTCCATTGCTGAACGCTGTACAGGTATAATTTAGGCAGTATTGCTTAACCAATGCAGGTA